CCTCCTTCCTTCCTTCCTTCCTTCCTTCCTTCCTTCCTTCCTTCCTTCCTTCCTTCCTTCCTTCCTTCTTTTCTTTCTTTTCTTTTTGTTTGTAGGTCTTTTAGTTTTGTGTTAGTATTTATATATATAAACTTTAATAAAAATATATATTTTTAAAAATTCCTTGACCTGTCTGTTGTCACCATATTGGCTAGATTTGGAAGCCGATCAGTTTACTTCTGGCTCAAATTTGATTGATTTGAAACAGAAAAAAGGTTGAATTGTTGTAGATATGTAGAGCTTATGGGAGGACTGTTTTCTTGCCACATTCCAGCTCCTTGACATAAAACAGTTTCCAGCATCCTGTTCTGGGTTCCAGTCTATAGGCATTTCTGAATATATTGGTCCCTCTACACATTCCATCCATCACAGTTACATGCAACCATGATTTCAGCTACTGGGAAATGTTTCTGTGTGCATAACTGCCAGCTATATGACACTGAAAAGCTTGCAAAAGCAAGAGAAATGGCAGCTGCTCTTAGCTGTTATTTTTGCCCCCCCCAAAAAACCCCACCAGACAAATACGCACAACTTACAAACATTGGGTGGAGAGGAGTATAACAACTCTTTTTGTGGAGTGGGGCTGAGAGAATTGGGATGCACTGGCTGACGTATGTTTTTCATACTTTTCTACAGCTCAGTTGGAGGGAGCATTGCTTGGCTTATGGTGTTCTTTGTGTCTTTTCGGTGTTCACACATCCACAGAATGGAAGATGGCTATTGGCTTCAAATTGTTTTGTAAGGGATTGAAGAATGGAAATGCTGTGATGTGAAAATGCCCTTAGATCCTTTAGAGAGATTACTAAATGGGAACTTCATTTCCCTGGAACTTTCTGTTATCATTTCAAACTTTGATGATTATATCTGAACAATGAAAAATGAAATATAATCTCAGTTAACAGATATTACCTCGTGGTCCATAAACAGTGATTAAATTGTCATCAGTCAGGAAGTTTGGTGTGAAATGAATGTATTGTCCTGGAACCCCACAAGTTCCATACTGTAAGGTATATGGGTCATCGCCATATTTCAAATTAGAACCAGCTATTATGACATCAGCCTAAAATAAGGTGAACATGGACATGTTTTTAAAAATCATTAAGGAAAAAATGGTTTTATTTATTTATTTTTTGTCTGTCCAATTTATACCAGACTGTAAACAGAAATGTTAGAGTTGCCTTTCCCCTGGTACTTTCTCCCTTATATATTTTATTATTTATATATTAAGCTTTTTTTTTTCTTGCCCAAGGTAAATGCCTTAAAATAGGACCCCTTCTGCTTCACAGACATTCAAACCTTCATATAATCCAAGTTTCTTCAAAAGAAAGGCTGATTAGGGTCAGCCAACAAACCCAAATCAGTATATGTAGGAATGTAGTTTTACTATCAGTAAATCTGTGTAAAAGAGGTGAGGAACCTGTGGCCTTCCACTATTGTTAAGCTAATGATTGAGCAGCTGCAACCATGAGGGATATTGTTGAGGGATACTGTGAGTTATATTTCAGCCGCATTTGGGTTTAATGCCACTGCAATATCCTGCAGGTTTTACACAACAAACTAATCCATCAATCATGATTAACTGATCACAAAAACCATCTTCATGTATTACTCCAAACCAACCCCTTTATTGCATAATATTATGGCCTGATTCACAAAAGAAATTAAGACATAAACCCTTAGCCATGGGATTAATAAACTATGGTTCAGTTTGTTGTCTTGTGTGGATCCAGTCACAGAGTATCATCATTAAACCATAAGTAGACCATGAATCAACTACAGAGTTCAGTATTCCATTTCCGACAGTAGTCATGAAGTTGCTACAAGGAAGCTGCACCCGTTTTCTCATTGTTTGGCCCTCAGCAACTGGTAATCCAAAGCAGATTTCCCCTGAACATAGCAAACCTATTTAGGCCTTACCTTATTGGCAAATAGCCATTTTTAGGTCAAGCCTGAATCTGGATATTTCTTTTTAAAGCCACCAATTCATCAATAGCTTTGTATAACAACATCTGTAACAGGGTCAGTGAACCATGCAAATCTCCATGGCGCATCCTTCATTTGATTCATTTTATCCTGGTTTTTAGGCAAAAGACTACTGTATTTGGCCACAACTTCCAATTACAGTAGTATCATTAATAAGACAGTACTCATCCTCTAAGACTCCCTTCATAAAGTGGGCCTTCCAAAATACAGTTATGTCTAATCTGAATACCAAAACATAGTTTCCATGGAGGTTTTGCATCTTTAGCTGGCTTGGAAGTTTATATTCTGGTTTATTTTCTGAAATATGGACTTTGGCTGAATGGGTAGTGAGACAAGTGGAAGTTAGGGTGCTTTTTTGCATCAAAGCCTTCTAGATCTTTTCTCTGAATCCATGTGTGATTGATCAGTTTGGCTTGATGAGAAGTGGATATTCAGAGCTATCTCCTCATTTACTGGTGTTGTAGTCACTGGTAGTGTATTTAGCTAAAGATCAATTACCAAAGAGTCTTTTTTGTGCTGGTGCCAGAACAAACATCACAGTTTCTGTGCAAAGAGGCCTCTATGGTTAATGGTCTATGCAAGGGAAAGTTAATTTCCAGAAAGGAATTCTTCCCTGCAAGGCCATTGATCATAAAGCTTGTTCATTACAGAAACCTGAATGCCAAATAATTTCAGAAGCAGGACTGTCTGAAAAACTTGTAGAAGCACTTGCAAAACTTGTAAATTGGAAAGAACAAATAAAGTGGAAGGACATGTGGTGGGCTACACCAAAGACAAAACTTGTTTGTTTGTTTTTGTCTTAAAACAATGCAAATACTTTTGAGTTTTAACACATGCTGCATACTTACATTTTCATAGGTTTCTATGGTTGGTTTTTTATATTCTTTTCTCGGTATCCATGTGAAAGGAACTATAACTTTTACAGACTTGAAATAAAACCTTTGCTTTGTAGCACTGAAGAGATATCTGGATGCCTTTTTCACCATGCTCTGGCCAGGAAACAGAACACAAAACATATTCTCTATGTTGTTGAGATTTATTCACACATTACTGCTCAAATTAGGATTCAATGCACTTTTAAGGGGATAGTTAAAAATAAACAAAGTATCCAATCTTTCATTAGTTATGCAGTTCTAATCTGTGTAGACTTTTTCCGAAAGTTCACAAGCAGTCATGTTTAAATTTAAAAACTAACTTCCATGTGACTTCCATCTGCTTTCAAACCTTTGTATTCTCTAATCCAATACTTTCCATACCCTCCACTCAGCCATACTGGTAGGGGACCAGTGACCTCAGATTGGGGAAGACTGACTTACACTAAATCTGATTTACACATAGTACCAATGATAAAATTACTATCAGCACTTGCAATATGTACATGTACATACTTCTCCAGGCTTCAGGGTAAGTAGATGTGGACCCCCAAATAATCAGGTCATTCCAAATTACGTAGAGAGCTGATCTCTGAAGCTCATGGAGCCTCTTCAGAAGGGGACAACTGGGACAATTGTTCTGAACTTCGAAGAAGCATCCAAAGACTAGGTCAGAATTTGATAATGATTAGATAGGTACTTTCATTCAAGTCAATAAAACTAACCAATCAAAATACAATTCCTAGAGTTACTTCAGAATTGTAGGTCTTCTAGAGAGAATAATAGGGCCCAGTTTACCATGCCATTAACTACAACGGATTATGTTAGCCACATTGTTTGTCCTGCAATTTTAATAGGCATATGGCCAATAAATAACAAGCAACTTTTTGTGGCCATGGCCCACTCTTTAAAAAAACTGTATTTATTTTTCCTTCTACATATTTTTATTGGTAAAATAATAAAATACAAGAAAGACAGAAAAAAATAAAAAAGTAAGATGAGACAAAAGAATAACTGCTAAATATAGATTAAAAATATTGTAAGGGGAAATAAAACCCTAGTAACACATCCCCCCACTTTCCTTCCATTTGTGTCCCCAACTGCTAACGTTAAGTGAATTCCAGCAAAAAATTCCCAAAAAAAAGTCCATTGGGGAAGCTGGATTCACTTAACAGCCATGTGATTCACTTAATGAACATGTGAATCATTTAACGACTGTTGTAAAAAGGTTGTAAAATCAGCTCAGGTCACGTGACAATTCGCTTAACAACCAAATCTTTTAGTGACCTAAATTCTGGTCCCTATTGTGGTCAGATAGTGAGGACTACTTGTATATGCTTTGTCTATCTTAGCAATCATCGACAAATCATGTACAATCTAAAGAATATTTTATGACAATTTTCGCTTAAATTGTAACTTGGAGTAAATTTTATTGATTTTTTTCTATAACTCTTCCCATTAATCCATTGTAATTGCTTCTTTGAAATTTTGTGTCCATTTTATCTTGCAGTTTTTCCTTTGTTCTGTCCCCATACCATATTTCAGTAACAATTCTTCAAAGTCTGACTTTATCTTCCAGGGAGTATCATAGAGAATACCATAGCTTACATGATTCTGATCTTTGTAGGAACAGATCATGGCATTTGAATATATTTTCCAAGGCCTTCATAGCTGCTCTACCAAGTGCTAGTCTGTGGCAGGTTTCTTGACCGCTTGGTTCTTTACTATTGATGGTTGATCCTAAAAGCAGAAGCTATCCACCACTTTGATATTTTCACTGTCAATTCTAAGGTGGTTGTTCTACCTGTTGTCATTAGTTTTGTCTTCTTTATATTTAATTTGAGTCCCATTTTTTCACTGTGCTCCTTGACTTTTCTTAGTAGAGCTTGCAGATTCCTTGCATTTTCAGCTGTCAGGGTAGTTTCATCTGCATAGTGCAGATTATTGAAGTTTCTTTCTCTAATTTTAAAGGCAGCTCATCTTTCAATTCAGTTTCCTCTAATATATATTCAGCATATAGACTGAATAAATAAGGGGAGAGTATACAGCTGTGTCACGCTCCTTTATCGGCCTGAAGCCAGTCTGTTTCACCATGTTTTTTATATGAAATTGGAATCAGTGCTATTTGGAAAAGAAGCTTCATCTTCAGTAATACTCATCTGCATTAACCCAGTAAGTCCTAGCCAAGAAAGTTTGAAATGTTTCTAGCTTTAAAGATCTTGTTTTATTTCTTTCCATAATTTATTGTAACCATTTTGAAATCTATCTTTATTACATCCTGTCAAGTAAAGTCCTAGATATTTCACTGAATCTTTTGTTATCTCACAGCCCCTCTGTTTTTTCATAAAATCATCTTCTTCAGAAGTTAAATACGTTCTCATAAGACTTGCAGCGAACCAGAAAAATGAACACAATTGACAGAAATCACAACTGGGAAAAAAAAAAAAGGAATCACAAAACTAACCCAAGATAGCAATTGCTGAGAGACCTAAATAAAGTTAAACAACAACTAGGCTTATGGAAATGGAAGAACTCCAAAAGAAGGTACAATATGTCAAACAAAACCATTTGGAGAACATAAACCAGGTAAACTCTTGGTGCATGAAATCATAAGAGAAACAGAGAAAGACAATAACAGTGATGGAGAAATGGAATTAATTGTTATAAACAAGAGTGGAAATGATAGAATAATTTGCAGAATTTTTCAAAGAACTATATTATAAACACAAAATTAACATGGAAAATTTGAAAACATATATTAAAGACTCAGAACTTAAAGAATTGACTGAAGAACATAGACAAATAATACGCAAACCTATAACAGTTTAAGAGATTGAAGAAGCAATAAAGAAAACCAAAATTGGAAAGGGCTGAATGCCCAATGTTACAGAAAGTTAGAGGAGGTACTGGTAGAACCACTACTGAAGACAATGAATGAAATTCAGACAACAAAAGCATATATACTTTTAATATACAAAGAAAAAAATGACCGAAAGAAATCTCAGTCATATATATCAATCTCTTAATTGAACGTTTATTATAAAATATTCAGTGATACACTAGCTAAGTGTATAAGGACGTACTTTCCTGAAATAATACACACAGAGCAAACAGATTATATTCCAAAGACAAAGATGATGGACAAAAGCAGACATATTATAAATGCACTAGACTATATTAACATCAAGGAAAAGGAGGTAGCAGGTAATATTTTTAGATGCAGAAAAAGCCTTTAAAAGCTTGGAATAGATGTTTCCACTGGAGGTTCTAGACAAAATGAACTTAAGAGAAGAATTTAAAACTTGGGTAGAAAGCATGTCAATGGCAAACTGCAAAGATTATAGAGAATGGAGCATTCTCTGCAAGCTTCCCAATATGCAAAGATACAAAGCAAGGGTGTCCACCTTCTCCTTTACTATTTGTAACTGCTTTGGAAGTCCTGGCAAACAAAATTCAAAATGATAAACAAATAACCAGGATCAAAATTCAAGGAGAGGAATACAGGATGAAATCCTTTGCAGATGACATACCATTAACAACTTTGCAACCACAAAGCTCCATACAATAGCTGAGGCAAGTAATCAAAGACATGGCCTTTCGTATATAAAATTATTCATTTATTTCTTTGTCATCTGAGGGCTACAGGGTATCATGGTGATTGTCAAGTTCTTTGAGCAGAACTTGGCAATAGTTCTCAAACACTCACCTCAGTGTGCGGTCTTAAGCTTGAGCTGGCTGAAGGCTCTTGGACATTTGACGTGGCTTGGCTAGATAAAAATCTTTATTGTATCCCAGAATGTCAGCCCCATTATGTAGATCAGACCAAGAAATCAACTCCACAGGAAGGCTAAAACTACTTTTATTATAGTAAGCTATAATAACAGAATCTTTTTGGGAAAGTTGGGGAACATAAGATAAACTAAGTGCATTAAACCCATTGGAAACATAACATACATAAGCTATTGCTTAGCTGAAAAACAAAGAAGCATGTATGTTGGTGAGGAACATGAATGTGTGTGTGTGTTTGGCATACAGACAATATGTTTTTGGCAGAGAACCAAAATGATTTGCAGCTAGACAGATGTATGATAGAACAAAGAGTCCATCTTTGCTAATGAATGGATCAAAAACCAAGGTTGTCCTTTTTGAATAAAAATGGCAAATGATACATACAGTAAATGGCAAAAAAGTAGAGCAAGTAGGTAAATTTGTGTACCTTGGTAAAATGGGGAAATGGATGGAGAAATTTTAAATTCCGCAAAAGCTGGTAGATTGGTAGTGGTGTTAGGCCAAGAAGCCTGCTTTTGCCAGAAACACTATATCAAAAAGCATTAACACCATGCTTAAAGCCTGAAACTTTGCTTCAGCTCAAGTTTTTAAGAGCTCAGATCCTTTCCCTTTTACCTAGATAGTTCAGACTTCTTCCCTTCTTCCCCATTCCATCCCTTATCAGATCTTGCAGGATCCCTTATCAGATCTTGCAGATTGAACCCCAGACAGTTCATAGGTTATATGACAGAGGAAGAGGTGCACTGGCCTTGCCCTGTTCATTCCATAAGATCCCTCTTGAATATATCTCAGTCAAAACCTGGAACAATCAAGGTGTTCTGGGTTTTGATTCAGCTTAACTTCCAAGCCACAATGTATTTCTTCTGAATTCAAAATAAAACACTGTTTCTGTTTGTGCACACTCCTACATAGGAAATGATGGTGGACTTATTGTGATCCATTAATCTGAACTTAAATGTTCCCTTGCTGTTTCATTCACCAGAATGAACCTGACTGGAAATTCCCAATTGCAGTATGGTATTCAGAAAATTAAATATTACCACAAGGATAAAATTAAATTTACACATATTACTTTATATGTATTAATGAAATTTAGAAACTATTATTATAATATGAATAGAATAGAAATATACTATGTCTAAGCAGGGAGTGTTCTGCTGCCATGATCTGAATGGTTTTCCCTTCTTATTCTTTATCCTTAAACCAAACTTAAACTTCCACTTTTTGTATAATCATTCAAAAACACGTAACAATTTTACCTTTATATTTCCAATAATTCTCTTGTCTTCTGGGATATTGGGATTAATTGCAATAACAATGTCTTCAAATCCACCATTGTTGAGCTTGATCATTGTACCCATCACTCCACAGAGTATCACTAACACTACCAGAATCTCTTGACTGTGCCCCATCTTTGCTTGTGCTACTTCTCCCAGGCTCACTGAAAGGATGATACAGAAATGTCACATATGCAAGTGCTTTTATATACAGAAATCTTCTACATGCTTAATATAAGACTTTGATTATCTTTTTTTTAAAAAAAATGATACATTTCTGATATGCAAATGCAAGGTATAACAGGTATCACTATTAAGTATTTCAAACCAAAGGAAAGTGAAGTCTGAAGTCATCTCTTACAGTATTACTTTCCCCCCATTTTTATATGTGCATACACATGTTTACAAGAAACATCTCCACAGACAAAACAAAATCCCTCACATATTTTGTCCTCTATAACTCCCCAACCTTCCCAAAGATTAGTTTACATGCAAAAAGAAAAAAAAATAGGGAAAAAGAGTAAATCTATATAAGAACATATATATAGTATATGCCTTCCCATATACTAATGAAAATTATTCTTCAGAACATATTCATGTCATATTATTCAACAGAATTAGTGACATTTAAATCACTTATTATTATTATTATTATTATTATTAAATTATTAATTATTATTTTTTCTTATAATAATAAGGAAACATTGATAATTAAATATAAACCAGTGTATGCCTTCCAAATTTCTAAACAGTCCTCAGATCAAAATTCCTAGCAATTAAATGCTTGTTTAGGTAAAGAAAGCTACATTCTTCAGCCTGTGGTAGAAGAACAGAGAATGGATACCCTGGGATCAAAGATGACAGCTTATTAGGGAAAGATACAGAGCTTTCTCTGGGAGGATTGAAGTTTTATCTCCCCCTTTCCTAACCATGGTAATTGTGTATTCTTACAAAACTGTTAACAATCAGAAATACAAGAGCAACTTTATCTGTCAGAGATAGCTTGGAGTCAAGTCAAGCAAGTTTGGTGGATTTTTAGATTTTCATGGATGTTTCTATCTTCTTCCATAACTTGAACATTCTAGGGACAGATTTCCAACAGACTGGCAAAACTCTACTAAGCTAAAACATTGAACTTTCATAATATCTTTCCAGTTACACTTTAATTTTTACTTTTATTTCACTTTATAACCTCAGAATTTATTGGGTCTAGATTTACAATCTGTTACTCTGTACACTGATTTTGGTTATGCTTCATATCTTGGTCTTTTGGAGTTTCTACTGTTATTACAATTAAAGGAATATATCAAGTTGAAAGTCAATATATCATTGCTTTTTATATGAAAACACTATACAAAAAACAGGAACTAATTAATAATAGATCAGATTATCTACATGTTTTTGCAGTCATCAAAGTGTGCAATATACTCTTATTAGCTTTGAAGAATGTATCTCTAAAAAGCAGTGAGACCTCTAGAACAGATTTAATATAACAGTCCAGTAGGCAATCAGATCATATGAGCCAATGTTGCCATATCCCCCAATATAGAAAGAGGGGATTTGTATAAATGGCAATTAGATCTTAACATCTGACAATTTACAGTATACCGAGCATCAAGATGGTCAATGTGGATGAGTTCCTAAGAAGCAAAAGTAGCCATTCATTAACTTGAGAAAGAAAATACATCTAATGATATAAATCCAGAAAACTAAATCCTCCTTCTTACTGACAGTAGAAACTTCCTGATTGAAAAATGAAACTGCGAATTTCCTCAATGAATCTCCAAAACAATACATTCAATTTCTAAAATCACATTTTAGAAATATGTAGAAGAATATCACATATAGTATGAATTACCCATGACTTACCAATAATCTCACACACTCAGCCCCTAGTCTACACTGAATAAATATTACTTGATCCTAGAATGTACCTCTTTAAAAGGACAATTGAATCATTGGGGGTGTCCAGATCATACTAAAAATAAGAAAAGAAAACCACATTTTGGCAAATATGTCACACTGTTCAATTCCTTTCAATTTTCTGATGCTGGATGTTAATTTCTCAGACACAACAATATTTAGTTACATAAATACACTGAACATTAAAATATATTACATATTTATATTTTATACAGATGTTTATATTTATATCCCATCTTTCATTTAGGAACTCAACACCTTTAGTCACTACACCATACTCTGTGTGTGCGGATGTGTGCACACCTTCGACTCAGTGACTCCTCACCAAATATTTTTCTCTCTCAATTGCCTCTGTTTTTCAAGCATTATCCGCTCCCTTTCCCTTATATCTCTCCAACATTTCTTTGGAATTAGGTATTGACAAAGCTCCTAATTTAGTCCCTTAAAATTTAATTCACTTTAGAAATGAATGTTTAATAAGCATTACCACAACTTTATTTTCTTATCTGATGAAAGAATGGGGACTGATTTTCAAAAAGAAAAAGCAAGTGGGACACTATTTTTATCCTTATAAAAGCAATATAGGCATGAAAGCCGGCTGGATGACTTTGGGCCAATCACTCTCTCTCAGCCGAACTCACTTCACAGGGCTGTTGTTGTGGGGAAAATAGGAGGAAGAAGAAGTATTAGGTACGTACACCGCCTTGAGTTATTTATAAAAATAATATAGGCAGGATAAAAAAATCTAAAAAAGAAAAATGCCCCACCAGGAGGGATAATAATAAAATCTGCCATTATTAATGGTCACATTTTAGCCAGTAGTGCATTGGTATAATTTATTGATATTAGTTGGTTAATGTTATTTTTTAAAAAATCCCAAGAGGAGAGTAACATCCTTGTAGGAATTAAAGAATTATGGCTGCAGCAACACTAATCATAAAGATATTTTTTAAAAAAATAAAAAAGATGTATATGCAGCAGAGTTTTCTAGAAAACTTCTGTCAAGCCCTAATCGAAGTGCAACAAAATTAGCACAATGTCATCTTGTTCTTGCAAGCAGAGAAAGAAGATTGAAGGGAAATCTAGGTATCTCATTTCCCTTTGTTGAGAAAATGCATCTTCTTTCTTCTGTAACATGGACACTGATAGGTCTAGTGCTTGAGTTTGAGGAGCACCAACTACCCATTTATTATTATGAGACAAAAGCAGTTTGAAGGGGAAATTCTATATCTATTTCAAAGGGCTCTCAATATCTTGGTAAAAGATGCAACAACTTCTTTTGCCTTAGAGTAATCCATGTTACTACCCCTGCTATTGCTGTCCAAATCTCAGAGGTAAAATCCCTGATCAAAGCTGAGGGGAAGGTGTGCTTATATCCCTCAAGAAAGTCCTATTATTATTGTCCTTACCGAGCAATACAGCTTTCTACTCTGAGGGGAGGTAGCAAGAAGTAGGCAAAAACAAGTGCGACTGGATACAAATCTAATCCGTATTGATCACCTTGAAGGTAAGAGGAAAGGGAGAATCCTGCAAGGAGTCCCAAGCCGTCTGTCAGACAATTAAAAGAAGAAACCCTCAGGTGCTCAGCCCTGGATGAGGGGATGATTCAGCAGCTCCTCTGAATAGCCCACACTGAATAACCAGACCCACTAGAGCAGTGTTTCTCAACCTTGGCAACTTTACGATGTATGGACTTCAACTCCCAGAATTCCCTAGCCAGCATGATGTCGGGGGAATTCTGGGAGTTGATGTCCACACATCATAAAAGTTGCCAAGGTTGAGAAACACTGCACTAGAGACACTGGGAGAAAATCTTTCCTCTCAGATCTGTTCTTTCCTCTCAAACCTTTTCCTCAGATCTGTTCTCCTGTTTCCTCAGCTGAAGTCCCTGAAGCGGCCCTTTGTTCATCCCAGAGAGCCTCTTTGAGCCATCTGGGAGCAGGTCTCCTTGACAGACCCACCTTGAGCTTGGCAGGTGCAACCATGAAAGGGGAAGGCCCCTTTGTGGATCCTCCTCAGAACAGGGCCGAGCCCCTTCAGGTTGGTGTCCTTCTAGGCCTCAGAGGCACCGCTTCCCAAAGTCCCTGAGGCAGCTCCTGCTGGGTGGGTTTCACAGCCTGGCACACACAGCAGGCTTTGCCTGATCAGCTGGCTCCAGAAAGACGAGCTAGGGGTGTAGCAGCACCCATCCTCTGCTTGCTGTAACTTGGAAAAGATTCCTCCCTTCCTGTGTAAATCTGTTAGTTGTAATGTAAACGAAAAAATGGGCCAAGTGGTTACATCATGTTTTTCTCAAGGAGATATTAATGTAAAGATATGCTGTTACTTGGGTACAATAGCAGTGAATTTACATAGCCTTACTGCATGCTTTTTGGGTTCAACTTTGAATTTTTAAAAATTAGGTGGCCTTCCTTATTGGCACAACAACAGCAGCAGTCATAATGAGTATTCACAGAGAACTTTAGAGCAGCCTGGAATCCCTCAACTAAAAAGAAGACATTATTTCACAATGCTGTCAGAGAGGCAGAGAGAAATCTCAGTAAATAATGCAAATATTGCCTAGTGGATGAATAATCATTGTGGCTGGAAACAGAAGTTCATAATGCCGAGATTCTCAAATTGTGGGTCGAAGTCCCTCAACCCAGGGGTTCAGGATCAGTTTAGAGGGAGGTGTTTAAACCCAAATCAGCCTTGTGCAGGGCAAGTAGGAGTACTATACAGTGATTGTATTTTCTTGGAGAAAATAAAGGAGAAACCTGAAAAAGGAGCAAATCTGAAGGAGGTTTATAAGGATAAAAAAATTAACTGTTCATAACTTTGCTTTACAAAGGAAAATTCAACAGCAAAACCAAGAAAATAAGTAATAAAATAAAATCTAACAGACAGCTTTCTGAAATAAAGAACTGTTCTGTATAATAAAGGACGTGTAGTCACTGTAGAGTACTATCAAAACTCACGGTAGGCTTTGCTATCCACTTAGCCTGTGCAAACTCACAGCAGGTGGTTGTGCTACCACAAAGTTTAACCAAATTGATATAAAGTTTAACATGTATCTATCAACATTTGTATGATGCCTAGTTCAGTGACTCTAGATGTAATAATAGGTAATCAATAAAATTACATCAATAAATAAAATAAAAACATATAACTCATTTGCATCATTCTTTCAGTTTTAAATTAAATAAAAATGAGACAGAATTTCTCCACAAAGGCTGGCTTTGCTCTGTTTGCAACTCATAAAACATGTTTCAACAAGCAGTTTTATCCCAATTGTTTGGGTTCCCTAAGTTAGAGAAGCACGGGGTTACCCACTTTGCAAAACCATGGTGCATAATGACCTTCTATGAAGTATTTTCCCCAAGCTACAATGCATTCTGTTAATTTATACTTGATTTGTCCCATTTGTTTGTTGCATTTGTGAATGAAAAATTTATGCGACCTGATCCTCCATGTTTGGATAGGGGTTAGAAGGGCCATTTATTTTAAGGAGTGCCATGTATTTCAATGAAACATGGTCAGAAGGGCTATTTATTTCAAGGTTTGTCTGATCCTTTGGATTGCAACATACACAATTGTGGCAAAAGCAAAAAGCCACAAATAAGCCAAAATACAATGCAAACTCAGTCAAATACTGAGTGCATAGGCTTGTGACCCGTGCAGAGCTTTAACAATCTGACTCACAAAGCAAAGATAAACAGAGTCAGTTCCCACCCAGGCCTATGTTCTATTTATCCTTTATTTCTGCTTTTGCATACTTTTCCTGGATTCATTTTAACATGAAAAGTATGATTGCTTTTGGGAATGTAGACATTTTCCTAACTACGGAGCTCATATATGGAAGGCACTAAGCTAGAAAAGGCCACTGAACTGTTCAGTTTATTGGCATCATGGGCCCTGTTCACACAAATCAGTGACTTCTTTTCCTGCTCAAATGAGTTTGCGTGACATGCTTACCTGCATAGTAACCAGCTCAGGATGTCATCCAAACAGGGCAATGGTGTCACAGAATTAAGAGGTGCCCATGTAGGCCACCTAGTATAAACTCTCTCTAGTCCTACTGGAAGCGTTTCCTATCCAATAGGGATGTGCAAACCTTAATGCATCCCTGAAACAGGGATAGATGGGGTATGTTCTCTCTCTAGCTTCAGATAACCCTCCAGATAAGCCTCCCACTCCTGCTGCCAATGTAGGAGTATGTCAGTCCCTACCAGAATTTCACTTGTTGAGTTTAAATGTCTTCCTTCAAGCATACAATGGTCTCTGTGTTGTTTTTACACGAGCCAAGATCCTGCATTATAAACTCCTGGCTTGCATGGAAGATGGTACATAACTCCATCCCCTATTGCCAAGATGGATAAATCATACAGCAATAAATGTTGGAAATGCTACAACAAAGAAGGAACATTTTATCATATGTGGTGGTTATATATAAAAAACTCAAAAGTACTGGAAAGAAATACACCAAATTAAAACCACAAATATTTTTAATAGGTATGATCTCAGACAACATAAATGAAAGGTGTTATAATTTATAAAAATGTATGCTGACGGTGTCAAGAATCAATCTGGCACAACATTGGAGAAGAGAAATCTTGTCATTAATACAGGATTGGGAGTCTAAAATTGAAGGGTGTACAGCAATGGAAAAAGTGACTGTATACATTTACAGCAAAAGCCTAACCAAAATCAAGCAAGAAGTTTTCTCTTATACACAACATATCACACAGCAAAGCAAGCTAAGACACTTAGAATATTGTTTCTGAAGAAAAAGAGAAACTGTTTTAATATTTATAGCAACAAGGATCTAAACAGAAATGAGTAATAATGTCCAAAGTAAAGTATAAAAATATTCAAGCAACAATTACTGGCTGGAGGGGAAAAAAGGAGGTGGGGCGGTGGGAGAGAGAGAGGGGGGGGAAGGTGCCTTTATTTTTTGTTTTCCTTTTAAAATTTTTAAAGTACAATACCAGAAATAATGATAGAAGCACATGCTATAATTATAATTAATATATTATTTAAAGCACTGTTCTTGGTTTCGTTATCAGCAGTAACGTAATTGCTGGTTGGACCAGTGGTAATAGTAGGTAATGGAGAAAGAAGCACAACTGCTCTGGCTATATTAGATACTTCTCCAGTATTGTTGCTACTATCAATAGCACGAATGGCAAAGTAAATCATGGTGCCGTTTTCCTTTGTATAGTTTTCTGACTTATACTGAAAGGACTGTTTGGTTCCAGCAACTTCCGGTTTCAGTCCAAATGTGTTCAAAGGAAGGACATTATGAAATGTAGCGTTTCTTAATTCCAAGGGATTTTCACTCATTTTTATTTCATATCTTTCAGCTGCAAAATAATAAAATATATATATATATATACATGCATTATCAATACAGGCACTTAGATGGGGATCAAGATTAAGTGTGAAAAAGACACCTTTCAGTGAATATCAATATTTTTCTATCGACAAACTCTCCATATCAGTCGGAAAGGACATTTGTCATGGAATTTGTGCAGGATGTGGAAGGTTTGGGGTCATGTTCTAAGGCAGGAGTTCTCTTGTATCCTAAATCCTGTCAGTCACTCTATTATTTCTGTATCTTACCAAGATACACATCCCACAGGGGTCGCTTAGAGTTTGTAAGGATAGCTGGGCCATCCTTTTAAACAGAAAGCATTCCCTCTGGGTGGTCTGCAACACAGGCTACAACTGTCAGATTACTAACATGTATAATTTCTTCCACTCAGCCTCCCCTATCTTGCCTCCTTGCAAGTAACACAAAATTTCCCGCTTACCTTTTCCTCTATCGTAATCATCCCCAGGAGCTGTCCACGACAAAAGGAATTCATCTTCAGCATTGAGTTCTACTTCAAGGTCAATGATTTTACATGGAGGGAAAACATCTATGAGATTTCCAGTAGGCACTCCTGTCACTACAAAAGAACCTCCTGCTGCAGTTCTGCTGAAATTTCCAAGGTTTGCTTGGGTTTCATTGTCATTGGGTGTCAATCTCGGTGCATTCATTTTTATTTCTCCTGTTATAAGAAGTTAAAATCAGAAAAAGAGGACAAGTCCACCCATAAAATCTCCAAAAGCTGGCGGCCTATTTCAGCTCTCTGGAAAGATAAGCTAAAAGCCAAACATAAGTCAAGGGAAAGCTGAAAATGGTTGCCAATATTATTATCTTAGCAATTATAAAACTCATTTAGGAGCTTGTAAAAAAAAGGTTGTGAATAGAAGTTTTAGTTCGGCAGCTCCAGGACTTGGCAGAACCAGTGGGCCAAGATTGGATCCAGAAGGGGGAAAGAGAGCAGGTAACGGGACCAAGTGCTTCCTGCCACTGCTAGCAGAAGATGGTGCACAGTTACCAGAATGACAACTTAGGTATCTCCAGCCATGAATGCAAGGACATTAGCATTCTTAAGTTTATTTATTTATTTATTTATTTAAGATTTAATCAATCTGTATAGCTGCCTATTTCAAGTGATTCTGGGTGGCAAACAATATTAAATAAAAATAAAAACTATTACAACTATAAATAGAAATATTAAAATGCATAGCAGTCAAGGAAATAACACAGTCAACAAATGCTAATACAGCCAGGAGATCGGTACCTTTGTACACTTGGGACCCCAGGCCTGGGCACAGAACCAGGTCTTTAAGGCTTTAGGAAAGGCCCCAGCAAAGTTGGGGCCATCCTAAACTCCGGAGGGAGAATTTTCCATAGGGCAGGCACTACAACAGAAAAGGCACACCTTCTGGGCCCTGCTAACCAGCATTCCTTAGCCAATGGGATGCCCATCCTGCCAGACCAGATCAGATGGGTCAAAACAACAGGGGAGAGACAGTCCCTCAAGTAACCTGGTCTCAAGCCATGAAGGCTTTTAAAGCTGACAACTAGCACCTTCAATTGCACCTGGAAGCACACTGGCAACCAATGAAGCTTATGAAGTAGTGGTGTTACATGTGCCAAGAAACAGGCACCATTTACTACCCATGCTGCCACATTCTGCACCAGTTGAAGCCCTCTGAATACTCTTTAAGGGCAGCCCCATGTACAGTGCATTGCAATAGTCCAGATAAGAGGTCACAAGGGCATGAGTGAGAGTGAGCAGGGCCTCCCAGTCCAGGAACAGGCATAACTGGTGCATAAACCACAGGTGTGCAAGGGCCCTCCTAGCCATGATTGCCACCTGCTCCTTGAGCAGGAGCTGTGAGTCCAGGAGGACCCCCAGATTGCACACCGGATCTGTCTGACACAGTGCCACCTCACCTAGAACCAAAGATGGAAGCACAAGAATGTCCAAACACCCAAACCCACTCAGTCTTGTTGAGTTGAGCTGACACCTGTTGCTCCCCCTCCAGGCACTGGGACAGGTCAACCATGGGATCACTCTGGTAGCCTGGGCTAGAGATACAAAGCTGGGTATCATCAACATACTGGTGATACTTCACCCCAAAATGTTGGATGACCTCACCCAGCGGCCTCATATTGATGTTTAACAGGAAGGGAGGGTCAACCAAACCCTGCAGCACCCCACAAAGCAGGGGCCACAGGCTGCACTTCTATCAACACCAACTGGAACTGGTTCTGGAAGAAGGAGGAGAACCAGCACAACTCCCAGAAGAATACCATGACTGATGGTATCAAAAGCTGTTGAGAGGTCAGGTTGCAGGTGTCATACTACTGATTGGTGACGGTGTTAATGAAGGGTATGAAGGAATAAAAGAGTCCTTCCTTACTGACTGATCCCTTACCAATTAACAAAAATGTAGGTGCAGGATAAATAGTAATAGAACGTCCAAAGACTTATTTTGATGGTATGTGGGAATGACCTTGGGGGACCGGTGGAAGAGCCACAGATTAGGCAACGGTCAGATAAGAAGCAGTTTGGCTGACAGAAGGAAGGTGGGTGTGGCAAACATCTCAGAAGGGACCCTCCCTAGTTTCTTGGACTGTAAAGGCGAGGGGGGAGAGATGTACTTTCAGACTTGCAAGATTCTGTTAATGTAACCTTACAATAAAGTTCAATCTTACAATCTGCAAGTACACCTCTCCCCCCTCGCCTTTACTGACTGTACAATTAACAAAACTGAAGTTATTTGGAAAACCTAACAATACACACGCACACACAACTACAGGAAAAAAGATATGTCGAGGAGAAAAGAACTATTGAGATATAATAGGAGAGAAGGTTATAGAAGCAGGTTCATGTGCATGAAGTATGGGATTTTTGCATATTCTTCCCACAGTAACCCATCAGTAATTGCGAGGGATAGAACAAGAGAAGAAATCTACCCATTTTTATTCTTTTGCATTTACCTTGAAATTCATGCTCTTTCACAATGAATTCTTACCGTTTTCTATCCAGCCTGGCACATACAAAGCCGAACCCTGTTGGCGGGCTCCTAGGACAGCATCTTGCCCTTGGACCCGTACTTTTATATTGTATCTGCCGCTGACTCTGAATGAGGTGAAGTACCTTGAATAGATGCCATCGTGCTTGATAATATCAGCACCTTAATATGAAAAGATTAGCAATTAACATGTGAGCGACTGCAGCAAATACACTAAACAGCATGGAAATAGCTATCTGCACTTTTTTTCCTGGCAATATGTGAATGTTTGTAAATAATCATAGAATCTATCAGAATAAATTAATGTGCCTAGCGAGAAGACAACCTGTCCTGGAAACTGAACTAAAAATGAGGTAGAGAGCTGAACTGGTTCTCAGTAGGCAATCCTGCCACTAAGGGCTCCTCTGGAAATGTGATGGGGAACTGACGTTGGTTGGAATACTAATACTATGAGCATATGCCCATCAAGGTACAATTTTAATTTGCCCTATTGTGCTCCTAAACAGGGCAGAGTGACTGAGTTTGCACTGCAGAGTTGATAGACAGAGACTGAGCAAACCAAAATTCAGTCTGCAGTACTGATCTATGATTCTTCTTTTTATTGCTAAAGGTAACAATATATAGACACATAACTAAGATAAGTAATCCAATCACTTTCCATCTTTGTTAGGGTACATGTTTCTGGCCTTCCTTGTTATCTGGTCCTATCTGAATCTCATTCTTCAGTCTTACTCTTGTTTATTTCTGTTTTGTGTGCTATGATTTTTTAATTCTTACTTCAACTACTTATTCTCTCCTCACACACTCCAGTGGTGAGGTACAAATCAACATAATGGCTAATTGCAGTACGTATACATCAATATTAACAATGCAATACGATCCAAAAAATGCAAAACAATAAAATAATACAATAAGAAATAAGGAATGGAATACAAATACTTACAGAAATAGAAATAATCACATAGATTGTCATAGCATACCCCAACTCAGATAATTTTGCTACATATATTGAATAACAATGAATAATTATAAATATTATTGATGCCATTACCACTACCACCACCACCACCACCACCACTATATTGTCCTTCTTCCTAACAATAAGCAAGAGAAGACACAAAGCAATTAAAAACATTCAGCACTCAATACAAAATTCATGGTAGTCCCTATATCATGCACCATGAAGCATTCTCACTGGTTAAATTACAATCCCATCCTCCCTGGTGACACTACACAAAAGTATTCTTTGTTCCAATAAAGTTGCTGCAAGGATGTATGGCGCTATAGGGACCTTTAAGGAACCACAGAAACCACAGCTTGCTGGCAAAACATTGGTTTTGCACCTAGAAGGATTTGTCCATAGTACCTTTATTTAAAATGATCTCAGCTAGATGATTTTAAGGAGCCTCCTAGCAGAGGATTTGGAAAGCTGTAAGTCAGCTTAGACAATATTGGGCTAGATGGGCCAATGGCCAAACGCAGCACAGAGATTTTATGTGTTCATATAAGCCTAAAATACCACGCACAGAATTGTAGTCAAAAAGGCATCTATATACTACTAAAACTCTCATGTCTGTAACTTTCAACTGGGCAAAACAGTGCATCATAGGGCAACAATTTTTGAACCCAGCTACCTCAAATGGGCTAACTTACAAAATGCATCCAAAATTTGGGACCCATTACTCCAGCTGGATTGAAATTTGGGAAATTTGTGGCTGCTTCAGCATTGCTGTGCTGCCATGCCAACACGGTCAGCCCAGGTCACATGATTGTCATGGGCATATCCCCGACCTCTTTCCCACCTCCCTCTGTCCACTGTGCCCAATTGGCTGGCGGCAAGGCCCAATGGGTGAGCAGCGATTGGCTGCTTTGGAACTGAGGCTGAAATTTGAAATCTCTTAACAGCAGTGGTGTTGAGAGAAGGACGAGGGAGTGACTGGGATACCTGCTGGCGAAGGAGGGCTGTCTGGGAGGTGACGGTGGTTGATGGGTGAACTCTCTTCTTCCCTCAAGGGAGGGGGCCTTTGGGGACATGCCAGAATGGGGAGCAGGGGTTTCTGTGGCTCCCTTTGTTCCACCTCCCCCCAGCAAAGTGGCAGGCAGTTCCACAGGTCAGCTGAGGAGGAAGAGGAGGAAGAGGAGGAGGAGGAGGGCGGCAACGGCTTCACCGTGGCTCTCCTGAGGGTTGTGAGGGGAGAGCAAATGGTGGAAGCCTATATTATATGTGGAAAGGAAAGTCAACAAGGAAAGTCAATGGGGGAAGCTGGCAGCAAATTGTAAGTCGCTCACACTCCTACTGCTTTTTTGCCCTTGGTCATTCTGTTTCTCTGTTTAGGTAAGGAAATATCTCTGAAACAATGACCCAGTGGTCACAGGTTGTCTATTAATACCCTAAATCCTTGCAGGTAAACTTACCAGATCCATTGTCCCAAAGCTCTTGTTCTTCAGTTCCAGAGTCTGATTCAACTATGGCTGTGACATTTGCACCAATAACAGGCAAAAATCCTTGACTGACTTCTGCATAAATAATCATTTTATAAGGGAAGGAATTTGTTTGACTAGTCACATAGGGCTTCACAATCACTGGTGATACAGTTGGAGATGCTGGTCTAGTGGTTACTGTGATGGATAAAACCTGAGGCGTTGGGTATTTATTATGAAGTTTGTAAGTCCAATCTCCTACCTGTAAATCAAAGTTTAGAAGTAGAAAAGAATGTTAAATACTGAGTTTTTAAGGCTTCATAGATATAACTGAGTTTTGCTTCCTCTGCTTCTTTCATAAAGGTGGACAGCTATATGTAAGTGAGGCCAGGAGGGCCTTCTACACAGGCCCATCTTTTGTGCCAGTTGTGCCCACTCCTACAACAAGAGGCCTTTCAGATACAGTAGTCACTCACATCCTATTCACCTCTGAACAGAACTATTGCAATGTGGTGTACCTGGACCTGCCCTTGAAGACCACCCGGAAGCTACAGCTGGTCTAAAATGCAGCAGCGTAGGCAGTAACGGGCATACCTTGATATGCCCATCTGTCATCATTGCTCTGTGAACTGCAGTTCAAAGTGCTCATAAAGCTCTTCATGGCATAAGGGCTGATTATCTGAGGGACCCCCTGTTTCTAGTAGTTTTTGCCCATCCAGTGAGGTCAGAGAGAATGGGGATACTCCAGGCCCCCTCAGTTAAACAATGTCATACGAGTGGGACCTCAGAAGTGCACCTTCTCTGCCATGGCACCTTTCCTCCAGAACAGCATTCCTCCTGCGTTTTGCATGGCTCCCCCCTACAAAGGTTCCACAAGTCTTTAAAAACTTGGCTTTGGTCCCACCCCTGAATAGCGTTTCTTTTTCTTTGCTTGTTTTGGCAATGTACTGGGGTGATTTTGTCCAGGTGTACCTGTCCTTTTCTCTTTTTATTGTTTTTTTCCCCCTTCTTCTTTAACTATGCGAACCATCCAGAGTCAGCCTAGAGTCGGTCAGCCTTTTAAATCTTAATAAATAAAAGATATTCATTTGGAAGCCCAAGGGCAGAAACTCTCTCATTTTTCATTGATTTATTGGGTCTACTGGAAATCACAAAGTAGCATTTTTTTAGGGCAGACACATTGTAAACCAGAGTTTCTCAACATCAGCGACTTTAAGACATGTGGTCTTCAACTCCCAGAATTCCCCAGTCAGTGTGGGCTAGGGAATTCTGGGAGTTGAGGTCACACATCTTAAAATCACCAAGGTTGAGAAACAGTGTTGTAGAATAATAAACAATAATCGTGGTAGCTGCAGCCATTTTATTGGGTGCTTCTCTCCTGAACACCAAGCTGAGCCTTACAGCCCATTTGTAACTGGGTATGTAACCTTTTGGGGAAAAGGCCACAGGTGGTGATGGGAAGGAAAAGAGGTGCTGAGAACAGAAACCCCAGCTAAAACAGCTGTTGCAATCATCTCCATTTCTGGAAAAGAGAACTACTAGAGGAACACCCAGTCTGAGTCCTTTCAAACTTGGCACCAGATTCTATTCATTGTACTAATTTTCTGCAATGATACTAGACTTTAAAGTTGAGTTCCATAAGAAAATTGTTGTGGCATACCTATATTATAGCTCTAATTAAAACATCAATATACCTAACTGAAAGCATGTTTATTTACCTCTGCAATTCCATTAATCTTAAGGCGAGCTGTTTTGAGATTTGTTCTATCAGATACAAAGTCCTGGAGAGAATAGGTTTTTCCTTTTGGATCTGTCAGGAGAATTACTGGTGGCGAATAGTTTTCAGTCCATGTAACTACGAAGAAAGTGTCACTCCCCACAGTATAATCAATGGACACAGTACCCTCAAGAGATTGGTAGCCATCAATGTGGTTACTTTTGCTTTCAAGCTGTTATTAAAAAAAAAAAGTTAAGGATTATGGTATAGCAGAAAATATTATGCATTTCATATAATATTGTTCAGAGACTTGAAAGTAAGAATATTACCTAAGTGAAAGCTTTACTAAACATTGTTAGGAATACAAAGTAAATGATAGTGTAGTATAAATGCTGGTGCTGCTATAAGCAGAGCGCTCTTGTCCCATACATATAATGCATTATTTTGCCTTGACCAGGGTCAACAGGACCCAGGTTCAAATCCCACCTTGACTAGTTAGTTCACTAGGTGCCTTTTCAGCACATCGCTTTCCCTTAGCTCAGCATATCTCATAGTGATATCATTGTGAAGACATCATCTTGAAATCCCAGAGGAAAGGTGGTTTATGAGTATAATAACTAAATAGAATATTAAATCACTAAATGAGGGACTCTTCTGGGATAAAGGTGGCTACTAGATGGAGGATCTCAAAAATCATGCTCAGAAAAAGGCGGTGGGGATGAACTTCTATATTGCAGCCATGAAAACTGTAAGAATGTGTTTCACAGATTTATGCGGGTTTGGGTACCAGATCATGAATCCGCTGGGTCAGAAGACATTCTACTAATTACTAGAGAAGAATGTCAGATATTCATAAGTAGCCTGAAAATTGATTGATTGATTAATTATTTATTTAAATGATTGATATCCTGTGGTCAACACCAAAGCTGCAAGGAAGTCTGGTCAGTGATGGCAAACATCAGCATTATACAAGAATATATGCATACTACAGATGCTATACTGGAAGTTCTATGGCAAATTGCAAAGTGATCAATTGAGATATCTCGAAAGGAGAAAATTGGAGGAAATGGGGGAAAAAAATAAGGACAGTTGAGGAACACTGGATTAGGTAAATGCAGTAACACAGGCAGAAGGCAATGGCAAAATACTTCTGAAAATATTGCCAAGAGGACTAGTCCAGGCAGTCACCAGAAGTCAACAATGACTCAAAGGTACCAAAAGAAAAAAGAAATAAGGAACCTCTAGCAAAGTGACTGAAATAAAATAATAAAAATGAAAGTGACAAAATCATTTGGAATGAAAGATATAATTGGATATCATCAGCATACTGATGATATCAATCCCCAAACTGGCAGATGACCTCACTCAGCGGTTTCATGTAAATGTTGAAATATAGGTGGTAAACAAGGAACAACAGGGTCAAGAATGTATTGGTGGTAAATGAATGTGAATTAAATTCAAACATTAGCAACCAGTATGAAGTAAGTATGTTGAGCTGGTTTGGTCATTAACAATCAATGAAGATCAAGCCACAAAAAAATACAAGAAGAAAGACCATATGGGTTGAAAAGAAGGGGAAGACTAAGAAAGTCATGATTGGATGGAGATCATGAGATCCTCAGAAAAATAAAAAGCCAAAGGCAGTGTATGAAGAGGTGTATGGACATGGTGGAAGGATGGTTTGTTCACAAGGTTAAAAAAGTATGAAGAGATACATTAAATGCTATTGCTGTATGCAAAGCTGCACATATTTCCTCTCCTTATCTCCTGCTTTCATTGCCTTGCTTATGATTTTTTCTCACTCTTCTGTGTTTCTTCTTACTCTTCTGTGCTGTATTGTTGGTTCTGTCGTTGATTTCAAGGAATCCTAATCCTAGGTAGAGTTTTCCCATGCATTTTGCCCAGGATAAACCTGGGCAGAAAGGAAATATAAGAGTTCCACTATCCATAAAGGGTCTCTCTTAATTTAACCATGAAGGTGGTTTTGGGCCCTGAATTCAAGGAAGCTTAATCCTAACCTTAGATGGAATTTGCCTCCAAATAGGATTTTCCCAGGCATTTTGGACAGGATTTAAACTTTGGCAAAATGGAAAGCTAAGAGGCCCACTATGCATAAAGAGTCTTTGCATAATGTCACTTCTCCTGAAAGGGAGTAATGTGATGGGTATCTGCTGTATTTTTTTAATAATATTTTTAAACTTTATTAATTAAAAATAACAAATGAATACGTGTAAGACATTGCATAATAGATACAAACATATAACAATATATGTGTAAAAGTATAACATAGAACAATATATACATAGAAAAGAAGTAACATAGTAAAGAAGGAAAAATACAGAGAAAGGAAAAGAGAAAAAAAATGATGGGTATATGCTGTATGTATGCATATATGTTTATTTATTTGCACTGGTTGCTCGTCATCAGTTTTGTGATGAATTGCTATCTATCTATCTATCTATCTATCTATCTATCTATCTATCTATCTATCTATCTCCCTCCTACCTACCTACCTACCTACCTACTTACTTATTTACTACCATCTGGTCTGAATGCCAGTTAAGAGCCCCACAAATTTCCCATCAATATCATAAGACACTCTAAGCATCTGAAAAGTAAGTTGCTGCTAGCAATTCACGAAGAGATGTTCCCAAGAAATTCTGTTATCCGAATTGCCTGTTTCTTATGAAGAGAGTCTAAATATTTACTTTAAAAAAATATCAAAATAATACTATTTCCTTCTAAAGAACAAAACATCAGCATTATACAGAAAAGAGACTGGGGTTTTTTTGCTGGCATTTTGTTTAATAACGTTATTAATACAGAACACCAATCTAAGGCTGAACTTGAATTAAGTTCGTGAATTGCTAGCAGCAACTTACTTTTCAGATGCTTAGAGTGTCTTATGATATTGAAGGCTGAACTTGAATTAATTAAGAATTATCTTCTTATCTAGTAAGTGCTCCATTCACAGGATAGACTCTACCAGCTCCCAAATACCTGAATCGACTGTTGAGAGATATTTCCACTTCCTGATGAAATTCCAGTGAAAGCATCTATGAGGCTATTTGAATCCAAACTATCAGTTGCAGCAAAGTTTAAACCTCCTAAAATATGAGAAGAAGTTCCATTAATTTTCAGTGCAGTAAGCGTTATGCTGCTCTGTATTGTGCCTTGTAGTAGTGTCAATAAGATATGAAAAAGTAGTTGCTACAGTAGTGATTTGTGAGGAACAGAGCAGGAATCAGTGTGCAAGTGTTTCACAACCCTATATCTATTCTTGTGCCACCTTCAGGGCAAGTGTTTCACAACCCTATATCTATTCTTGTGCCACCTTCTGAAGTGGAAGTCCTTTCTCCCTTCTTGTCTCTGCTATGTAAAACTGAGGACCTTCACAAATAGATGAAACTGATACAATTTACCAGGACTTCCCCATGGCCCTCACTGGAATCACCAGCTGGATCCCTTAAAGTGCATCATGGGTTCCTTCACACTGGTCTCTCTGGCATGTGTGCTGAAGCTGCTCAGTCTGAGAGGTGCTTGGGCTGACGTTCCCCCTCCTACAGCACTTCCTGAAAAAGGCTTTTCCAACCTGTCCCCCATAGTGAAAGCTCTGAGGAAGAAGGCAGGCTGAGGGCTCTGAAGCAGATCCAAACAAAGCAGCATGGATGCTTCCTTTCAGTCTTAGAAACAAAGGAATCACACTTGCTTCCTGAAGCAGCTTTGAAAGGAGGCGTCATCCAAAGCTTCATTGAAGAGAAACACTCCTTTGAAGCTCAGCTTTTCCCTTTTCCCCAGAATTTACTACTGTGAAACTGGCTTATGTGAAGGTGGCTGTGATTTCAATAAACCTTTTCTTTTTGAAGCACAAATCGTTACTGAATAATTCAGTAGTACAGATGAAATCTTATATGTCACTATCTGCCATACGTATCTGTCATTGTATGCATATTTATTTACCTGTCATTGTTGCCAGCATTTCTAGCTCTTGTGCAGCACTTGGCCCCAAGGCAATGGTGTGAATTTTTGATCCACTACTTTTAACCACACCAAAGCAAGAGCTCATAGTTGTATCTTCCCCATCTGTCAGGAGTACAATCTCACAGCCCTCAGTACTTGGATATTTTTGTGTGAACACCTATATTGAAAAACATTATGAGCAACTGAATGTAATCTAGAAGTCACAGGATGCTCTCTGCTGTTAAGAAGTAGGAGAAAGTTCTAAAAAGCTCTTTTCATCATTTTTATTTGCACAAAAACTCAATATTCTATACATAACAAAAGTTGCAATCCGTCTAGAATAGATTTCAGAATGGACAGTCTATTATTAATTATAATTGCTTCTCTTCTGCAACTCCATGCTGCAGTGTTGACTCCCTGAGGAGAACTGCATGGTTGGGTAAATCTTGATTGTATTTTGTGGCCTTATAGTCAGAAGAGAACAAGAGGAACAAGACAGCTGTTATAACATTGCCTATATGGAAGAGAGTGATGCCACCAGCTCTCTTTCCCAACAACTTGCTTCCCTCTACACCTCCACTTGCCTTAAAACTAGGAGAAAAAGAGGGCATGCAAGTTCCCTCAGACTATTCTAAAGCTGTCTCCAAATGTGAAGTTTTTGCTGGGAGAGGGGGTGGGGGTGGGGTTGCATTCTAAAACTGTATTCCCAGTTTGTGTAGTTTGCAGAGATACACTATACTGTTATATAATTGGTTTCTGTTTTCACAGTTACAGATAGTCCTTGCTTAACAACCATTTGTTTAGTGACCGTTTGAAGTTACAACAGTGCTCAAAATAGTGAGTTACAACCAGTGCTCGAAGTTATGACTGTCCCAGCACCCCTGCGGTCATGTCATCATGATCTGGGCACTTGGCAACCATCTTGTGCTTATGACAGTTGCAGCATCTTGGGGTCACTTGATCAACATTTACAACCTTCCCAGCCAGCTTCCGGCAAGTAAAATCAATGGGGAACCATGTGATTTGCTTAATGACCACCGCAGAAAATATCATAAAATTGGATCCAATTCACTTAACAACCGCCCGCTTAACAACCAATTTTCCAATCCCTATTGTGGTTGTCAAGTGAGGATTACCTGTATATACTATATGAAAGACACTGTGCCCTCTTGGTGGAGTCTTAGGTAGCAGTTCAGCTGCTTGTCTACGCAGGGTAGCAACTGGGCTGAAAGGGAGGCAGCGCACAAGCAGACTAGCCAAGGCGTGGCTGGATGATGATAGAGGATGTGTATTTGTTGTTTAAAAGCCTGGACAACATTACGCAACCACCATCTACACTTGTGAGCCTGAAGTCCCCTTTCTGCCGCTTTCAACAAGAGGCGTTCTCTTACGTGAACAAGCTACATTTTCCTTCACACAGCGGTACAGCTTAAATATTTAGTGACTGAATCAGAGGGATACCAGTGAGATGACTAGCTCTTAACTAATTCTGAATGTGTACGTACTGGAGTACACACACACACACGTATATGTAAACGAACCTTCCAATTGGTTGTCTGATATTCCAACGATAGAACATATTTTACAGAGCCAAATAAAACGCCTAGCCAGATATACAGAAATAACAGGAACTGGGAAATGCTCTCTGTCACCTGGAATCCTTTAAGCACTCCAGCACAAATGTTGGTTCCTCCACCGGCTGCAGTAGGCAAATAATTCACAAGAGCTTGGCGTGTGTTGTCACTGACAATCTGTTGCAAGCCAATCTCAATGTGGGCAGAGGTCTGAAATGTTACAATTCCAACCCAAGAACCAGTTTCAATGATCTGCAGGAGGAACAATTCAGCAGCTTGCTTCAGGCGACCAATACGATTATGCTGTAGGGATTGACATGCAGAAGAAGAGCACAGCTGTTAATTTTCAGAACTCATGGAACTCTACCATATTGGCCGTGCCATAAGCTATGGCAGACTTAGTTTGAGGTTAGTAGTAGCACAGTCATGAATAATTTATGATGTACCCATACATATTATATATCTATACCGGTAGTTCTCACTTAACGACCATTTGTATAGTGACCATTCGAAGTTACAATGGTGCTGAACAAAGGGACTTACAACCGTTTCTCACACTTACAACCATCACAGCACCCCCACGGTCACGTGATCACGATCCCGGATCTTGGCAACCAGCTCATGCTTACAATGGTTGCAGTGTCCCAGGGTCACGTGATCGCCATTTGCAACCTTCCCAGCCAGCTTCTGGCAAGCAAAACCAATGGGAAGCCCACATGATTTGCTTAACAACTGCAGTGATTCGCTTAACAGCTGCAGTGATTTGCTTAATGACCACTGCAGAAAAAGTTGTAAAATTGGGCATGACCCACTTAACAACCACCCCATTTAACAATGAATTTTTCCAATCCCTATTGTGGTCATTAAGCAAGGACTATCTATAGTACAAAAATGAATGCAAATCCTCAGTTTCCATTTCATTGTTATTATTTTCAACACTAATGCACTGGGCGGTCTCCTTACAGTCTGTGTCCCACAGATGCATTGATTTATCATTCCTGCCATCCCCAACCAGATTAAAAATGTGGTGTCTTGTAGTCTAACACATCTAGATACCAAAATACTTCTGACTCCATTTAAAATAACAGCTTGACTGTTAACTTATTGTTCCTGAGCTCTTGCTTTACTTCATGCAGCTATTCCAAAGATTGCAGCTAATACGTGACACTAGAATGCACTGATTTCAGAAAATAAAATGGGTGATTAATCCAAACGTGAAATTAATCTTGCACTTTTCTGCCAACTCAGTCACAGCCTGTAATATATACTATGTGTAATAGTGTGCAGTTCTATTATCCCTCAGTGGTGGTGGTGGTGGTGGGTTTTTTTCCTTAAGCCTGATTCACCTATTATTTCAATTCCTTCTCTCACTTTTCTGATTCTCAATTGATTTCCTACATGGTATTTCTCCTTCATCAATCATTTCCTACCACTTAATTTGGAAGAACATATTACACTGGATATTAACCATTTGTTATCTCTATATTTTAATGGTAACAAAGTATAAAATAAAACCATTTGCTCCTAGAAATGAAATATGCTTAATCTTTATCCTCACTTTATAATATTTAGTCAAAATAGTCAGAGAAGCCATGTTTTTAAGCCAATTTACTATACTCTACAAAACTTTCTTGCCTGCCTGAGATTTTAATCCCAGCCAACTAGACAACTATTATTTCCTTCATAAAAGCTGGGCTGAAAACATGCTCTTTATTCAACCAATTAGGAACTATTAGCTACTCAGTAGAAGAGGATGATCTCTGATAGCAACAGGGAAAAATATCACCAGCTTTTCCCTCTAGATGACTGTCTTTCAATAATTTCATGAATGCCCATACTAACATAATTGCACATTTTATTAAAATATTAACACAATATCATTTCTTACACAATGGTCAACTCAGAACTTCAAAATTTTCCAACATTTCGAAATGTTTAAGTTCTCTTTTTAACAATTAAAAAGAACCCTTCTGATAGCAGACTTACATCACTCATGCTTCCAGAAACATCAAGCACTAAGCACAAAACTCTGTCCTGTGCTTGAACCAGAGAAATAATGGGGTCAGGTGGAGGAGTGTTTATTGGAGATGAATAGAAGAAGTCTTTGGAGTTCATAATGACTTCCCATGTGCTCCTGTAGTCACATAATTTGTTCTGCATATTTGTTGCCCTGGTGTTATGATTGCTTTGGTCACAGAACTGAGTAACCTAAAAAAAAATGGAGGAAGAAAAAAGAAGAAGGTGGTTAGAAGGACAAATATTAGATTAAACTGAATTCCAATTCATTGTCATTAGCCATACTTACAGAAGGTAGACTTTGCGAATACATGATAGATACCGGAGTACTTTGTATTTTTTCTGGCACAAATAGACATCCAGATTCATATAGCTTTGTTCCCTTTACATATTTACATTTTCTGTATTCTCCTTGGCCAGTTGGAAATATATATTTACCAGTGACATCAGCCGAACATCTAGAGAATAGAGCAGAAATTGATATAGTTAGCAGGTTAAAATAGTTCAGGAAATAGTAACATAAATCATTTCCTATGATTTACTAGCGGTTGCTGTTCCTGTTAATGCACTTTCATCTAAATGCACATCCCAGCAGGTGCTAGCGCCTAGCCAATTTGAGCTGATATCATAAGAGCTAAGCAGTGCTGGAAATGTTCCGCAGCGTGCAGCAATACTCCCAGGAAATTGGCAAAAATACACATCAGTATGAGAGATTTACAAAATGCAATGTCCATTTCTTGTTCTCCAAAGAAATCCAGCCAGAAAATATAAAACATCTGGTTGTTTATTGATAAAAATGCAAAACTCCATAAAATACAAGTCTCATACAAAATATAGGGACAAACACTTCTTCTCATGTATTTAGCATCCAAGACTTAACAACCACACAGGTACAACAAAGTCTCTAGCTAAACAAACTCTCAGAGAAGAGGTACACTACTTGGTTAT